ACTTTCGTGTTACCGAACCGCACCTCTTCGAGCACTAGTGATGTCGTACCCTCGGATCTGAGCTTCTTTAATTCAGTGTCTCTCTCTTGCAACTTTGCTAGACCATTGTAATCGATTCCACTTGCCATAAGTGCGTTTATCATTGCTCTGGACAGAGCGTCAGCTACGTCGTTTTCCTGTCCTTTAATATATCGTATATCGGAAGTGAACTGTGAAATGAATTCTAACTGCCGGATCTCTCTCGGGGCATAATTGTCTTGTTTTGCGCTTAATGCTTTAGTAAGTGGTTTGTGGTCTGTGTAAACGGTAAAACTTATACCTTCTACCATATGACGAAAATGTTTTATGGCTAAGTAAATTGCTAGTAGTTCTCTTCCAAAAGTACTGTACCTTGTTTGTGTAGGGTTCAGTCTTTTCGAAAAAAATGAGAGGGGTTCCCAAGTGCCGTTTACTAACTGCTGTAAAACGGCTCCTACCGCCACATCCGATGCGTCAGTCATGATAGCTAGTGGTGTTTCACTCTTTCGTCTAGTTAATGTCGTTTCTTTATTTAATGCTTTTTTGGCTTGCTCGAATGCCTGTATCGCCTCTGGTGATAATTGGAATTTCCGGGCGTGTCCTCTTAACGAGTCAGTTAATGGTTGCAATATCGCCGAACAATTCGGGATAAATCGTCTGTAGTAATTTACTAACCCGAGGAATCGTCGTAACTTTTTCCATGAGTCGGGTAGCGGATAATTTTTGATAGCGTCGACTTCTGTTGAGACAGGTGTAATGCCTTGAGAAGTTACAACGTGACCTAGGAATTGCAAGGATTCCTTTTCAAATTCACACTTCTCAATGTTTATGGAAACGCCATGTTCTCGCAGTCGCATGAATAATTGTCGTAACTGTTGTATGTGTTCATCCTTAGTGGCGCTGGCTACTAGTAAGTCATCGATATATGCGTAAACTCCAGGTAAACCTCTGATGACCTGGTCGGTAAACCGTTGAAAGGTTTGCGCTGCGTTCGTCAGTCCGAAAGGCATGCGCAGAAATTCGTACAGTCCAAATGGGGTCGTTACCGCTGTCTTTGGTATGTCGTGTGGAGCAACAGGAATGTGATAGTATGCTCTAACTAAGTCGATCTTTGAGAAGATAGTAGCGCCTTCTATACTGTAAGTAAAATCGTGGATATGTGGTATAGGATATCTATCGGCTACTGTTTGTTTGTTAAGTGCTCGGTAGTCTCCACATGGCCTAACTTCGCCATTCTTTTTCGGGGCCATATGTAATGGGGATGCCCACGGGCTGTTCGAAGGCCTTATAATGCCCAGCTTCATCAACTTGTCGAATTCCTGTTTTGCTATTGCTAGTCTTTTTGGGTCTAATCTTCTTGGCCTTGCATTAATTGGTGGTCCATTCGTTATGATATGGTGCTGAATGGAGTGTTTGAGAGATGCCTTATTGTACGTTACTTTCACGAGTTCAGGAAATTCCTTTAACAACAATTTATATGGATCACCGTGGCTTTTATCTATCACTAGATTCATGGAAACGGCTTCTGTAAGTGTTCCTCTTATCGAAGTGGTGTGACTACCATTTATAAGTCTGTGACGTCGCGAGTCTACTAGCAGATCAAAGTTACATAGGAAATCGATGCCAATTATGGGCACTGATACATCTGCTATGACAAAGTCCCAGCGGTATGAAGCGCCTCGTCCGAAATCTAGGGACAACTTTCGTTTGCCGTATGTCTTAATGTCTGATTTGTTTGCTGCCCTTAACACTAGTGACGCATTAACATTTCTTCTCTCCTCGCTTACGGGAGGTACTACGCTGATTTCCGCTCCAGTATCAACTAAGAATTGAGCACCTGTCGTTTGATCCTGTATATAAAACAGACGGCTATTTGCAGGCATTATGTTCTTTGATGCCGTTGCCATTGACAATCGTGGGTATCGCTTACCTGTTATGTTAAATCTACAAGGTTGTAAACATTTCCTAGCTCTATAGCCATACATTTGATGATACCAGCATATCAAAGGAGCTGTGCGTCTTCTAGAAGGTGATCGGTTTCTGTCGCGCGAGCGATCTCGTGATGATCTTCGTGGTCTTATTTCGCTCTGTGTTAATTCTGTGAGCTTGCGGCACAAAATACTTACCTCTTTCTGTAAAGTACTAAGTCTATCATCTACCGTCACGTTGTGTAATGGAGGGCTTGTTTGTTTGGTTCTTTCGTATATTCTATCGGCTATTTTTGCTATGTTGTCTATATCGGCGTCCGTATCTCCGACGGCTAGGATCTGCTGTACACTTGACGGAAGTTGCCTAAGCCACAGTTGATAAAACAGGTTATTGTCTATTTGCCTATCGCCCAACAGGCTTTTCATATACGTTTTTAGCTGTGATGGGGTTCTATCTCCCATTTGTACTTGGTTAAGAAGTTGTTCGACAGTTTGCTGATCACTTAGAGAGAGAGTTTTAATTACTTCTTGCTTTAGTACATCGTACGGCTTCTCGATGTCTGGTTTCGCTAACGCCTCTCGTACGCTATCTGCTACTTCGTCTGGAAGAAGTGTGCTTATGAGACCGAATTTATCTCTTTGTAAGTGAATGCGGTTAGCCAAAAAATAATTTTCAAGTCTAATGAACCAAAGTTTTGGGTCGGTGACATTAAAAGAGGGGGCAGAAAGATTGAGAGACCTCACGGACTGGGTTTGCTGTAAACTTGATACAGTGTTTTCGGAAGACATGTTTATAAAAAATATTAAGTAGCACACGAATATAATGTAACTGTCATAAAGAAAAATGGACGGACCAAAAACAATGATAATAACAAATGGTACAATTTATAACATAGAACAGACTTACTAAATTGCACCAATATATCAATTGTTTGTCAATAATCGTTATTTAATATGATTATTATCGTTAATTCAATAATGTTTGTGAAATAATGTACGTGTAATTAAAATAGTAATATAATAAATCCACAGTTAAAATTATAGTCCATATGATAATCCAAATTGAGACGAAATGCGTTGAATTTTGGGAATTTGATTATATCGTCGAAAGTTGTTTCGTGTTCGCTCGTCGGGATCGCCAATTCTGTAGTGGCTGTGCTTCGTTGACCAATCACCCTCGTAACCGTTATCGTATAAACCCCAACGGTAGTTGAAATCAGAAGGTAAAGAGAAGCAGCTACTACAGTTTTATTAGCAGGCAACTCAAACCACAGAGCAGAGAGGCGAATGAGTCAGCAAACCGTGATTGTGTGAGAATGTGGAAAAATGGTAGAGTGTTAAATATACATGTATATATATAGAAAAGTGATTGGACTATCGAATCGATTAAGCGAATAATAATAAGGTTAGTGGGATGAATATATGCGTGGGCAGTCAACAGTGTTCAAGCATGCTTATTCATACAAGCATAACAATAATAAAGATAGAATAAGTTGTTAAAGTACAGATAACCTTGTCCGTTTACTAGGTTAACAAAAGGGCTTAAACGAATTAGATGAGGGCAAACTCAATTGAACGTGAGTTGCTATATCTGCCTCCAATTCTCGACGCCGTATGTTCTTTGGCCTTCCTCTTTTCTGTTTTCCTTCTGGATTCCAAGTTAGCACTTGCCTCGTGATACAATTTGATGATTTCTTCAATGTGTGTCCTATCCACTTCCAGTGTCTTTCTTAATCTCCTCTTCAGTTGGAACTTGGTTTATTCTCTCCCATAGTAGGCGGTCGCAGATGGTATCCGGCAAACGTAGACATCTCTTTATACATACTTGTACATTCTTGATGATGGTTGTAGTAGTTATCCAAGTTTCAGTTCAGCACAATAGAACTGTCTTGACGTTCGTATTGATGATTCTCACTTTGATATTGGTTGACAGTTGTTTTGAGTTCCATGTAGGAAAGAGACTCTTGCCTTTCCCATCCTGCCTTCACATCTGTATCAGATTCTCGTCTTTCATAAATGATTCTGTCCAGGTGAGTTACATGTAACTAAACGACATACTTATGTGCTTAACAGTTAACGCAGAAAAAAACATGATTCATTTAAAACAGTCTTCACAATCTCATCTACTGATCCTCACTAGGGACTAGTGAAATAGAGGCAATGTATGTGAAGGACAGTTGTACACCAAAGACAATGACGTATCGTTGTACAATATTACAAGATGATCAAGGCTAGACAAGTAAACTGATGAATGCTGTCAATGGTCTAAGAGACCATATTGTAATGAACGAGATGTGAAATGAGAACAACAAATTTTTGTTTACTGGAAATTTACAGAATATCTTGGTAAAATATGAGATAAGTAACAAAAATATTGAAACCACATTACACAACTATCACTTATTACCACCTACACAGACTTTTCCGCTGGAAAAATAATGAAATCTAAGTACATTGTGTCTATATCAGAGATTTTTCAATTTAGTATTCACTTATTTAATTTCAGTTTATTGTGCAGAGTTGGATGCAAATATACCATACAATTTTAATTCTTATCATCAGTAATGAAAAGATTCTAACCTTTACAATGGAACTGAATGTGTTAAACAATACAGGTAAATCAATCTGCTGATGTTCATTTTGAAATGTTTTCGTGAAAGATTATTACTGTTTAAAAGAATACTAGGTTTTAAGGTTCAGATAATTGGATCGGACTCTAATTCTCTCGCCAAATTTTTCATAGTCCACTATGTTTTTACCGATTAATGTGAGTGGTATCTTTACAGTTTAATCGGAATAATCTGATGACTGCACCTTTTGTATATCTGACTGTCAAATTTTATGATTCACTTCTCGTTTCTTAGTGTTATTTACCATACTCAGCTTTAACTCCAATATTCCGGTTACAGTTATGAGTAGACATATATTACACACAGTTTATACCAGTTTTTCCACCACTTGCACTTCAAACAAGTAAGTACATTATGCTAATCCACATATGACAATGTTCACATCTTGCCTTAATTGACCTTTTATTGTTTTTTCAATTTATAGGATTGCAGATTATACATTCTGCATGGTTTATCCCTTGTAAGAGTTGTAATCATACATCAAATGACACAAACTGTGATTGGTCAAACGCACTGTGGTATGAACCTAATGATCCAATCTACCCCTGTTTATACAATAAAAGAAGGATTCAAAGTGATAAAAGTCTAATAACAACCTACGTAAGAAACCGTGTGGTAAGCAGTATATTTGATACCCATTTATTATTTTTCTAAGGATGAGATTGATTAATACGCCAGTTCGCTAGCTAAGTAACTATAAAGTGATTGATGGCATATTCTTACTAAGATTGATGACCATTTTCTGTGATCTTATGAACGAAATGTTAACCGATTCTTTAAAATAGGGCTAAATGTTTGCAAAATCATTCTTTTGTTTTAAGATAAGGACAATTTACATGTATGCCATACTTGTAAACTCATCATAAGTATCTACACTGAGATTTTTTGCCTGGTTGAATGTAAACAACAATGAGATTTCTCGTACCGTATTGACATTTTTCTAAAGGCAGCAACTTCCAATAAAAATATCTCAGCTTAGTTTTATAGTACGCACAAAGTGGACTTAAATCGAAAACCGTTAAAAACCAGGAAGCAGTAGACACATGTTTGGTCCTAATATAGGGTATCTCGGTCATCCGCACTTATGACTCAACCGGACAACGGACCCACAATCTTAAGGTCTCTCAGCTAGCGCTTAAGTATTCGGGCTACTTAGTTGGTATCCAAAGGATTGTAATTCTAACTTTAGTTGATTCGCGAATTCAACTTAGATTACACTGTTAATTTTTCATTTTGAATAAAATATTTAAACTGAAGATAACTGATCGATAGTTCACATTATCCTGTCACATCCTTTGTGGTACTTGCTCTTACCATGTTTAGTGACCACACTATCAGTCAGATTAATAGAATTCAATAATTACTGAATACTAGGTCACAAAACATTCGGAGATTCAGTGACCGATTGAATTCAATGGCGTCTGAAACAGCAACGTTATCTTATCTATAGCTACGAAGTTCACGAAGGCAAGTTTCAATCTTTATAAGAAAATCGCTCCCTACAGTCTCCGTATGCGTTGTAAATGGGTACCTACTACAACTTCAGGGTTTTAGAATTTACCTCCGAGTTATCTTGCATTGTTCACGGACTGATCAACAACATCAGTATACACTTGAAGCCTAAGAATGAACAAAATATGCTGTTCAATAAGTTAGTAATGAAGTCACTTAAATGATACTATTCAATTTAATACATATCATAAACTAGTTTGAAACTTTGTGTTTAATAGATACATGTAGTTTTGTCAGCATTTTTTTCAAAGTAGAGCAGTTTCATATTTCCGTCTGTCTATCATCAGTGTGAATTTATGATTGATTTATTATCATAAAAAACGGTCATATTGAATTTTGCATATGCGTGTAAAAAATTAATAACGATAACGATTCAGAGAAAACTGGTTTTATTTCACGTCCATTACATTGCAGTAATAATAACGATTTGAGATCCTATCTGTTATTTGCACTATGTAACTTGTGATGACGATAATGATGGTGGAGATTATAAGTCATACCATGTAGATGTTACTGTCATAGCTTGTATTCGGCAACGAGTTAAATATAATTTAATAAGTTGACTCACTAACTGACCTTAGCTAGTCCACTACCTAAAAATAGGAAGCAATGAACCGATGTTTCGTTCTACTATATGACCTCATCAATGGGTATTCATTGCCACACCCCAAGGATGATTGATCTCGCTCGCTATAGTCTATTTAAGATCAATTTGCGATTATAACTATGAAAATTCGAAAATCTCCATATACCTTTATAATGATAACCATGTGTTCACTAATGACTAGATTCAGGAAGCGATTCCTAAAGTTCTTATTAGAGGCTGTGTTCAGTTGCGTTTAACCATGTAATCTACTGCAGACAATGGAAGATGGTCACGGAATATCCTGAATTGATTGATGTTAAGTAAATACACCAAAGGACACCTGCTCAGTATTCTAAAGGTGAAGAGTTCACGTGCGAACGTCCCGAATTCTATCCCTTTTAGTTGGGTCGTGGGTATATAGAGTTGAGGAATGCCATACTAGAACGAAAAATCCGTCTAATGTTCATAAGGTTCTCATCCGTGAATAGTTTGTAATCTCAACTACGAGAATTCTACAATTTTCATAAATCCGTCCATACTTATAATCTCAAAGCTCTAATTGTGTGCCACGGTTTATCTCTAAAGTCAACCGGTATATAGATGTTTGTGACTATATTTAACAGGAAAAACTAAATGAGACTTGTACTTCTCCGTCCTTCTTCGTGTTAGTTCTTAGTATTGAGTATTTCTGGTAGAGTACCGCTGATCATTCTATCAATATCTTTAAAGTATTTGAGATTAACAAGTTTAGGTATTAAGAACTTAAATCGAGGTTTAATCGTAACGACTTTAGGCCTGGACGAGTATATTGTATCTAACATTTAGGGGCATTTTCCCTCTCGTTTAGTCGGTGTGTTGCATACATGAGTGAACAATTATCCTCAAATCTCCATTGTAAAACCTTTTGTGTAGCGTAGGTCAGCATGTCAGATGAAAAACGCAAACATAACAGAAATTGACTATTGAAACAAAAATGAAGAATATTTGAGCGAACAACTGTTTTCAAAAACTTCATCGTCAGGCTCCTCAGTTAGAAGTCCACAAATATGATATTTTACGAAGGCCAAAATAAGGTGTGTATTAATAAATTTGAGAATGTTATATGATGAAAATGATGAACGTTCGCATCTCTACGACATACATACTTCAAAATTGTGTTATTCGTACACTAGAAAGATAATTTAATAAAGGTCAAAATGATTTGGAGTAAAGTATCAGGTCGGACCTTATTAAAGTTCGATGCCGACCAAGTGGACTATAGGTTAAGCGTTCGCGCGCGAGACTAGAGCTTCTGGATTCGAACAATCCCGTGTGCGGGATGGATGCGCATTTCAGAGGAGTCTCATACTAGGATCAAACGGTTGTCCAGTGCTTCCAGATTTTTTATGATGGTCTAGCTTCAATCGACTCATGAATTCAACTATTAAATTGTCAAGTTACAATCAGTGTAATGGTAATATAGCAAAAATGAAAAAAATCGAATGAATAGAATACATAGTAAGAGAATTTCAGGTAAGACTTTAATTAATGGACGATCTTTGAGCGTTTCTAGACTGACCTCGAGGGTGTCCACCTATTAGAAATTAGATTTATGGTTTTCGTCACAAACTGACATCAGCTATAATGCCAAAACTTTAGTTAACCAAATGGATGAGTGGATTTCGCGCAAAAATCCGATACCTGTTACCTTATACTTGACTGGTTCGTCCATAAATTATAGTCTCGCTGAATTTCATCTTGCTAATTGAGCTAATAATCATAATATCAACCGTAATAATAATAATAATAATAGTATCGTTTATGTGAGAATAAAATGTAATAAGATGGGTGTTATCAAGGTAATTACGATAAAAGAGAATACATATTAATTGGGAAAGATGGATGTGAAGATTAAGGTAGATGTAATAAAAAAAATGGATGGGGTGTAAAAGTTTTATAATATTCACTTATCCAGTCGTAGGCCAAGGTAAAAATGGAGGCTAGATATACCTTTTCTGGATACATAAGTTTGGTTTTCTGAAGCTGATCCAGATAGATTCCGTTATGTAGAGTATCTGTAATGTAGATCCTTGAGGTAGATTCTTTTGAGCTTGATATAAAACAGAGACAGCTTCCTATAATTTGATGTTATGCCTTATTTTGGCCTTTGTAAAATATTATATTTATGGACGTCTAACTGAAGAGCCTGACGATGAAGTTATTGAAAACAATTGTTCGCTCAAATATTCTTCATTTTTGAATATTCTGTGGGGATTTTTTAAGACTTCCAGTGCTCCCGTGTTTTCAATCTCGGTCAAACATTAATCGGTTCATGATCTCGTTTATGTATGTTTAATTTCCTATGGCGGCAAATTTTTATTTCGCAGTCGATCAGATTTTTTTACTGTTGATATTTTTCGGTAAAATTGATCGGTTTCCGCTGTTGCATTGATTGTTTAAATACAGTGCCTATTATTTTTATTCAGACATTTTATATGACAACAGGGACTGATCACCTCGATTCTAATTATTTACAGTGGAAGGTCATTCACATTAAAATTAATAGCCGTATCATACACGTTAACAAATGGTTATATGACTAAATAGCTCTGTTGTGTTTGTGTAATTATATGTCCGAAGAAGTCAGGAACGTGTAAGTCACTTTGAAGTTATCTCACATATATCGAACTAAGATAACAATTATTCCCTACATTTTAATGAGAAAACAGTAATAAGCTTTCTATAAAAAGTTGAACTGTTGAAGAACTTATTCGTCGGTGATCGCATATAACGAGTAGTTGTGAAAGAATGGAGAGGATTACGAGATAAAGTGATTATGATATCCATTAAAGACAATGAAAAGGGAGAAAAGATTTTCTTCCCATAGAAAGTTGAAAAAATCAAATAATTACTTCTTATAATGCACTTGGCAATAAGAACCAAAAAACCTAAGTTGATTATTCTTACAAATATACTTAAACAAGTTCACTGCTTTAAATAAATATTTAGTGATTAATTTCGATTTGAATTTTAATTGTCACTACAAGAGTATGCACTATAAATATAGAAAACATTTCAGGTTAGTTAAAAAACTATATGGAAAGAGACAAAGATTTTCGAGTATGTAAACTAATGAAGTCATCTGGATGAGTATCTTTATCGAATGTTTTTTAAATAGATAAAAAATATCTCATCTTGTATAATGTAAAAATAAAGATTTCTAACTAATTCATTGTATATTAAAAATTGTTCATTCATATTTGCTAGTCTGTTTCTCTAAAAAGAGTTAAAAAACCTTCAAGGTTACTTCAGAGGTTGCCTTATTTCGACACTCGAATTCAAATACATCTCCATAATCATGAGTATTGAGTCTTCAATATTCGAAAATTGACAACTAGCAATCATGAAATCGAGAGAGCCTAAATTCTTATATTCAACACATAATCCTTATCAGAATGCACATAATGCATAATTACTTGCTTTGTTGAAAATCTTAAGTACTCTGTTTATGGAATACTACTTAACTTTTCTAATTTAACTGTTTTAATCCAAAAAAGGTTACTCTTCTTAAATAAATCTTTAAGTTGTATAAGTATTCACTAGGTTGAAATGATCCAAACCTTTTTTCATGATATTGATCCGAGTTTAAAAAATCTGAACATATTTTATTATCGTTGGTTTCTAAAAAAAAGAAACAATTAAACATACTATTTTGTTTTAGCTTCTTTTTTTGGGCGATTCAACTTTACGCGGTTTAATGTATTCCTTACTGTATCGTGTAAATAAAACACTATGTCATGTTCAAGAAACACATGAACAAATAACGCTGATTAACAGTGCAACAATAACTACACGATTTACTTATTTCCCAGATTATTCAATAAAACCACAATTAAATAATAAAAATAAAAGAAATTCATTCAACAGTTTACTAAAATCACTTTTTATGTAAGTTGAAAATGAGCATTACATTTTATATATTTTGAAATTAGTGTATTATTAATAGAGAAAGCATTTCATTGATCAATAGAAACGCTGAGGAATTAGTTTTGTTTAAATCAATATGTTATGTGTGTATTTAGTATGTATGAATATGTTTTAAAGACAACCAAATGTACACTCATATTTGTGTTCATTTAAATAATACGACGATAAAACAATAACAAAAAATATGTGACTTACTTTTAAGACGAGGACTATGACAAAATTATTGATGATAATGTTATATTGTATATATATGCTTATGACTTAAGGCAGTATCAAGGCGATATACACAGTATACATATATGCCAATAACAAACTGATTAGTTGCAAACTAAACATCAGTGGGAAGATTCAAACAAACAATACTGATTGATCTTAAAACTTCACATTGCACAAGCAAGTGGCTATCAGGACTCAGTATCTAAGTAGACATTGTGATGGCGTTTCAAGCGAACGATACTGGATTCGAGTCTCTGAATGAACATTAACTCTGAGATGCAGTTACATCCAGTCTACAAGTCCCAAAAGGCACGATGCGTGAGTCCTGGCTTAATTGTTATTTCTGCTGTAATTATTTTATACTAAAACGAATTTCAGCCATTCATATTATTATGTTAATTTTTATAGTGCTGTTATACCATAGATCTCTCTTGTTGCCTCTGCTTCATTGACACTCTAACCCATTTTTTCTGTGTCTCACTTATTATAACAGGTTTAACCAAACATTCAATGAAGCTTTGTTGTTCGTGGGTGGTGTACGATGGCTAAATTCATATCATTTAAAGGCAATACAAGTATTTATCGATAAACAGTAAGTTCTATTTACTCTTCATTATTCACACAACTAACTGGTGCTTAAGATGTGATAAAATCGATTGTAGCCAAAAATATCTATCTGAATGAGATTATTTACTGTCTTAAGGTTAAAAATACTCACTGAAACTATCCTCTATTTTGTATATTACTTTTCATCCAAGTAATCTATCAGGGCATTTGATCAGTCAAACACTACTGACTTATTGTTTGTAAAGCACAGTGAAATTTCAAGTATCACTCCAGCAATATATAACTCTAAATTGAGCAGACAGTGACTGGCCATTGAATAGTAACTAATGTCACGCTTGTCTAGTCCTTAGTGTTGATGAATCCCTTCCGACTAATTCTCAACAAAGCATATAGATGGTAACGCCAAGGACTGTCAAGCTGCATGATGTGGATTGGAATGCTGAGGAAAGAATTAGTTATGACCTGATTTAGAGTGACGGTTAACAAAAAACCTTGACTATGCATATTTTCTTATAGATTACCTCCAAAACATTTAACAATATGAAAAGATAACTAATTTGTTAATGTCCAGGAAAACGTTTTAAGAACAGAACGTTTGTTTTATGTCCAACTATTTGTATCAGTTCAGCTCCTTGTACCATTTTAGTGAATATTGTCTAAATTTTAAAGAATTATGAAATATACTGAATGAGAATCCAGGCACAATATTACAGAATGTAGCTGCTATTTAATAATAATAGATTATTATAGATATTTTGACTTTCCTAAAAATAGTTGGAAGTTGTTTATATTTACATGATTTTAGATAATGTGTTATGAGCTAAATAGTTTAAATAAGAATATTTGATTGGTATTCTTGTTATGTCGCAATTTCTTATTACTTATACCTGTAAAACGAGGATCCACTACAATTCCCACGATGCGAAGTAAGAACACCATGACTGATACAAATGAAAATTTATTAATCCCAAAACACGAGAACGACAACAGTCGGAAATACAATCATTTATATATCAATTATACGCCCATCCTGATAATTAATTAGGATAAAATCACACATATGATAAATCCTTAGTTATAGCAAATCGCATGCTACATGTCATGCTCAGTATAGTTTATATTAATTTAATACAAGAATATCTATCGTATGCTGAACAATCACATCACACTGGAATAAATCAGTGTTATAACGAATAAAGTATCACACTTGGAAACAAAACAACTACTACACTGAGTATTCATTACATTGAATTAAAAAAGATAGAAGTAATGTTAAATATGAACCATAATGAGTAAAGAATGTAATGTTGCATTTTTAATGCCATCATAACAATTCTTTACATCATCAATGAGTTGTTCACGTAAGCATTTAATTATTTTACGAACATTTAATCAGTCGATATCGAAAACTTGGTGTGACCGGTAGTTTCGTAGGTTTTCATTCTCATTGATGGTACGGTCAACTTATTACTGTTTACGAGTAAATTAATAAAGTTCATACCTGTTGATGTGTTTTTTCAGCACGCCGTGTTTCTAGAATGATTCCGATTTTATAGAATTTCGTGAAATAAGAATCTCAACTTAGAGATTTCATGTCCATTGTTGTTTGCAGATGTTAATCAGAGTAACAAGGCATAATGTCAGTTCATAGCTAACTAAACGTAAAAATATTCAAAATGTTATTGTTGAAATTAAGTTTGGGAAGATCATACAAACCCATCCCTAATCACCTGTTTCATACGCTAATTAAAATTGGTTAATCATGAGACCATTTTGATTTCTGCGTCATTTGACAGTACTTCAATTTATATCATATGATATAAGTTTATTATAAAAGTATTCTACTCCGAACAATGACTTTTATGAAATGACGTATTTCATAAATAGTATCTTTGAACTTTAATACAAAAAGATTGTCAAAACTCAAATACATTACTGATTTCATGGCTTAAATGACAAGATGATATAATACACATTGAAAACCAGGAAAAGTTGATTTGTTGTTTAATCCTTGTATCGGACGCACCGGTGTACAACCATGACCTCATCAATAACCAAACTGTTAGGTTTCGGACCGCCCGTTTAACCTTTAAACCACTGAATCAACAGTTGATCGTTTACATTTCTATTATTAATTAATTCAAAACATTAGGCAATCTTTTTTTAATGCTACTGGTAGGTAATTGTCTCATAATTGATATGGCCGAACTATTTTATTATTTCCTCTCCAACCTATATATATATATATATATATATATATATATATATATATACATATTCGCTTCATGTATTCAATAGACTTCTAAATGTATTTGCTAATGAAATAATATCATCAAGAAATGACCGTGAAAATATTGATTAAATTTTTTACTTTAAAAATTTTGAAAAATGCATTTGCTTCATAAAACTAAACGAACAATAGCTCAAAACGAGTATTCATGGTTCTATATAAAGGTGTTTAATTTTTGGTAATGATAGATATTGATGATGATTACGATAATAATAATAATAATAATAATAATAATAACAATAACGGTAATAATAATACTGACGATAAAAAATATTATTAAAAATAGTGCAGGCATGATCTGATTGATACAAATGGCTGAATGACAATGATAAGATGGAATTCACTTAGAATCATCTAGAAGTTTGTATATCGCCCATCTAAAATGGATAATCACTGTTTTTCGAATTTCAACTTGTAGCCCATTTCAAATGACAGAAAACGTGTGTAGTAAGAAACTTTAACATTTGGTTATTTTACAGCGTTCTTTATTGACTAATAGTTTTAGCTTGTAATAGGGTGATTTCGCAACACACATCACAGAATCTGAAAAGTGTAACTAATGATCTATTAGCTTGAGGCTAAAGCTTCCCGTTTTTAGAAACATCCTCTCTCAAACATTACATCGTGTAAAGTAATTATGGACACTTTAATTCATTTTAGCAATACTGTGAATTGAAGCGTTAGTAGAGTAAACCATTAATTACCGACCGTGTGCTAAATTTTAAACACTCCCCTTGGGATCTGACGGATCTGCCTTCAATACCGGTTGGATGAATGTTTATAATAGTACAAAAGAGATATCCATTGTCTACTTGCTTTAATGGCTGTCTAAGATGAGTCCGTGATGTAAAACCAAATTTAACAATTTCCACAAACCATACATAATTACGCGTGTTTCAATTAGCCTACTTTTCACAGAGCAGCTTAGTTGACAGAACATAATCATTAATGTGAATCAGAACACAGACTTGATGATCTGTTAACTAATTATTGTTTTGTTTGAAATTGTACCATGTCAAAAACTTTCACTGAAAATATAATTAATGTAATACCATTTTTCACTGCTCCACTAATTATTATACAGAAAGGTATTTCGTTCAGTCAAAGTGTATATCAAAGACTATTCTGCTGGTTTTCACACGCCTGTTGATGGATTACCGTTTGTTAATTGGGTAAGTAACTATACGATTTTTGTCCAATCAATGCCTATCTTGATGTGCGATGCTTGCTAATGTCGAAATTAGTTGTAGGAAAGTTAGGTGCAGCCTTTCCAGTCCATGAAGTCTCTGACTGTCGGACTGTGTCGCTTTTTGTAGACGAGGAGAACCTATTAGGTGGCAAGGTTCAGAATTTATCACATTGACATAGATACATTCTTTAGTCATCTTCCCTTAGATCCTAACTTCAAAATCATCTTATACTTTTTATTTCAAAATTGATTTTCTCTTATTTCACATATTGGTGCACAGTTTCGAAAATGAACTTTCTAAAGTTCTAGGAGAAGGCAGAGATCTGTAAAGTCATCCAAGTCAGAACTAGGATGGCCATCCACTGATGGAATAATATTGGGAACCAGTAACTCACCACATGTCAGTGTGTGTAATTGACTTTGGGCCGCACTTTGCATGAATATACTGATGATACTACTTGGTTTTAGAAATGGATGCAGAAGATTCTGTGCTTTGAGCTTGAAACCGAATTGCTGAAAAACAGACAACTAGATTAACTATCTTTAATATTAGAATGAAATATCAGATGTTTCAAAAAATATTTACTCATGGAAGGTTTACCATAACTTCAACTTCGGACATTTAAATTTATGATGACTTTGAAAGTATATATGTTGTTTTGTAAACTTCAACTCACCTGTTTATTAATTATTATAACGTACTACAAATAAATATAATTAAATATTTTTTAATACTTTTGTTGTGATTGCTGGGAGATTTTTTACACTGGTCACAATATACATGAACTAGACATATTACATGACTAGTACATTGTATCATTTCGACGATAAAAATCCATATACGAATAAGAGAAACAAAAAAAGATGAAGAATCTTCCACAACAGCCCTTAATATTCCGAACGCAAATCAAAATTATAGTAGAACAATTCTGCTTGAATGGAAGAACATGACCTTAAGACACATGAGAAAAATAGTAAACTAAAAGCAAGAACAACCAGTCAGATGACAGCAATGGTCAGTGGGCGAATATGAATTGAAAAAAAACACCAAAAACTTCTTGCATATCGTAACAAAAACAAAAATTCTGATCATACGTGGAAACCCTAACAACCTTTATGCACCACATGCAACAAACTGATATTGCAATTTATTTAGATAATTGACTACACTTTCAACTAGGCTAAGACCATTCGTTCAATAGCTTCGTGACGCCAATTACCAACAGATTTTAGATCTTGTATTTTAATGTTTTGTCAACTGTGATATACTGATATAAATACTTCACAGTTTTAAAGATTTTACTGACACTAGTTCATTTAATGAGATATTCAGTAATTGAAAAATTTAAGTCTCTATAACATTGATGCTGAAAGTTTACTTCTGATCATCAGTGACTAGCTTCGCAAGGAAATTTCTTGAGTTCTGGTCCGATGCCGTAACTAGTTGAACACAACTGTTTCGGGTGTGAGAAACGTATCCCCCAAAGACAATGGCAGATTCTGACCCGATACCTCGAATTAACCAAAGTTGAATAATAACACCGTTGGATACCGGCTTAGTGGTCTGGAGGTGAAGCGTTAGCATATGAAATCGAATTTTCTTGGTTCTATCTGCCATGGTGAGACCGTAGTGAGCATTGCTGAGGAGTTCCATGATAGGATGAAACAGCCGATCATTTTCAGGTTACCAACGATTGTCTAACTTAGACCAGTTCGTGCTTTTAATAAAAATGACTAGTAGTTACATTTATGAAGCAATTGAACATAACGTTATCAAAGACTAATTATTTTAAATTTAATCTTGTTTTAATAAATAAATTCAAATTCTTTGATTGTTTATAATGCGTTTCCAATCACTCTCCGTGTATAAACATTTCATTTAGTCGAGACGAATGCATGAACATAGAAGGAATCAAGAACTAATCAGATTGATAAACGCATATAACTGGTCAATTATTTCAACACATCAAATCACTTGGACAAGACTTAATCATTTTCATGCTTATGCAAGATGTTCATGTCATTTTTATCATGTTATAAAACAAATAGCACAACCAAATGTTGCACTAAACAAATATCAACATACTACCAACAATAATGGTGAAGAACATAATACATTTGTCTATCATATTATTGGACAAATTCAGTGGATTATGTCAAGAATCGTTGAGACAACAATTATAAATAATATTTATTAATATTGTTGTTTTTACAACAAATAATTAAGGTTTTATTTTTCAGTTTGTTTACTTACTAAATAGCAATCAATATTCATATCTCATTGTTTACTTCACAAAATGATTTTAGTTAGGTAACCACCGTAAACCAGAAAGCACTGTACAGTTGTTCATGAATCGACTGAAGTTCAAAATGTAAACAAATGAATAATAACGATAGGCCCATTGTGTCACAGAAGAATAATAAAGACAATTTCCTTTGCAACGACCTCACTTTTTTAAGTTATACAAGCGTATTTCTAGTTAATTTTATTTGCAAAAGTAGTAGTCTGTGACAGAATAGAATGGTGTTGAATAATTAAAAAGAACTTGAAGTGATATCTTGTCGTGAATTGTTTATAGAAATCAGATATTGAAAGTAAGTTATATGGTAATCGGCTGTTGGAAAATGCTGAGGTAAAGATAATGGTCCACGTGATAGCTATTAAGAAATGAATAATTAAAAGTTGTAATAATGCATATTAGTAATTGTGAAAATAATTGGAAAGGAAAGGAAAAAATTTATTCAAAAGGTTATAGATTACGGAAGATAGAATGGAACGTTTTTCCTATTGATTGATCACTGGGTGGTGATCAATGTTATGTATGTCAAGTCCTTTTTAGTGCAGATCGAATGCTATCGACCAAGTTGCAATGTGGCCACTTGACTAGGTGACTCGACATTGCGTGCACTATATTGAGATAAGGTGGTGGTTGGAGGTAGTCATCAGGAAACCCTGGACCTGGGTTTCGTGCTACTTGACACTCGTCAACAAGATGTGCCTGTAATCTTCAGGGAACTGATGCTCCCTGACGGATTCGATCCGTGCCACTCGGCTTTGCAGTCACCTAGACTAGTGGTCACACTACAACTTTGTCGATAGGGTTTGATCTGCACTGAAAAGGACCTGACATACATGATATTGATCACCACCCAGTGATCAATCAATTGTAAATACATCTCAGTCCTACAGGAGGTCAGTCGCGACCCGGATTTTTCAGTGGTAACGTCTCTGACTGTGAAGCTGGGTGACACGGGATCGAATCCGTCGGGGAGCATCAGCTCCCTCAAGATCACAGATACATCTTGGTGATGAGCGCCAAGCGGCACGAAACCTAGATCCAGGGTTTCCTGAAGACTACCTCCAACCAACATCTTAGGATGGAAGGTTGACGCCATGGACGAATGAGGGCATGAACATACTGTTTTTGTACGCAAGGGTTAGGCTTGATGTAGTGGATAGCAATGGCCTCTGATGCACATAGGGTTTTCGTTTGCATTCCTTTTGGGTAAATGTTTCTGACCGCGTTTCAAAAGAGCTTGCATTATGCAGCCAGTATAACCTGGTCCACATGAGCAAGTAAACCGAAGATGCAAATTGATTTGGCACAAAGTGGAGGCTTATCATTGACAAAACTACGAATCACAGGTCGACTAGAAAAGATGATGCGAAGTACGAGCGAATGGAATACTTTTCTCAGAGATTTTGAAGGTCTGTTCTCCAGAATTTCTACTGAACTATCTCCTTTCATTGGAGTGGACGATACGTGAAATTTCAAAGTTGGGTCCCACTGAATCAAGATAAGAAGCTGACTCATTATCTCTACATGAGGGCCAGATGAATCTGTACCAAGGATACAATCGATATCGAGCTTAATAAACTACGCAGATACTAATAAACAATAGATGTCCACCTGGATTCTCTTGCTACAAGACCTGGTGTTGCTGAGCACAATTCTCAATGCAGTCATGACTGCAGACCGGGAACGAACCTTATTTTTAAAGGAAACAACTGTCCAGTACTAGCTAATTTTCATTTGCTATCTATTTATGACCAGTATTGATATAAACTATAAAATCTACAAAATACCTACAAAGCCCTTGCAATGATGTCCATTTTGTGCATCCTTTATGATGAAATAAATTTCATCAGAATGGGGATTTGTGGGGATTGTAGTAATTTTAATGGTTGAACTCATGAGTCGACCTAAGGTAGGCCATTATTGGAAACCTGAAAGCACTGGATAGTCCTTTCGTCTCAGTATGGGTCTCCTCAAAAGTTCGCATCCTGCATGCGTGGTCACTCAAGCCCAGGAGCTTCAGTCTTGCGCGCGATCGCTTAAACTCTAGACCACTAGGACAGCATTTAACAGTGTTAATATTAAATTCCAATCGATCCATGATCTTGCACAACTCTTCAACCATTGTCTGTGGTGGGAAACTGCTACCACCCGATATGGATTGGACTCTACTGGTCACGGTTCTCACTAGAACTCCGAAAAATCCATCTTGAAGATAGTCACTAGTGAGCAAATATTGAAATAAATTAAACCTATCCTGTATACTATGTGACCGAACGTTCAACTTGTTAAGATAATAACCATTAAATGAGAACAACAAATTTGTGAAGTTATTTTCTCTTTGAGTGATCTGTATTTTTTAATAATGAGAAGACAACTAGTGTAGCAGCAACTTCAGTAGCAGTAGGTCTCAACATACACAAAGGGAAAAGCAAAATTCATAGATACAACACAGCATGCAATAATCGAATCACACTTGATGGAGAAGCATTGGAAGATGTTAAAACCTTTAGATATTTGGGCAGCATCATTGATGAACATGGTGGATCTGATGAAGATGTGAAGGCGTAGACCGGCAGAGCAAGAGCAGCATCTCTACAACTCAAGCACATCTGGAACTCAAAACAACTGTCTGTTAACCAACACCAAAGTCAGGATTTTCAATACAAATGTCAAGATAGTTCTACTGTATGCGGTGGAAACTTGGAGAACTACGAAAGCCATCATCCAGAAGACACAAGTGTTTATTAACAGCTGTCTACGCAAAATACTTCGGATGTTTTCGCCAAACACTATAAGCAACAACCTACTGTGGGAGAGAACAAACCGGATTCCAACAGAGGAAGAAACGCTGAAAGTGTATTGGACACACATTTATGAAAGCACTCAACTGCGTTACTAGGCAAGCCGTCACTTGGAATCGTCAAGGCAAAAGGAGAAGAGGAAGACCAAAGAACACATTACGCCGAGAAACGGAGACAGACATGAGAAGAATGAACAACAATTGGATAGAACTAGAAAAGAAGGCCCGGGACAGAGTGATTGGAGAATGCTGGTCGGTGGCCTATGTTCCAATTGGTGTCACAGACGTAAGTAAGTATGTAGGTATTTTTTTAAGTCTATTGACCAAACATTTAGTTTATGTGTTTTTTATGTTTTAATTCTTAACTGTCATGTAACAAACTACCTGTTATTATATTACCATGTTTTAGTCAATCATATGTGGGTTTTGATAAGAAAATGTTTAGGACAAATAATCTAAATATATAATTATGTGAACTGTCGAGTCAGTCATGTAAGGGTTAGATCGGCTGTCTAATTCTCATTATCCGGTCGCATCCTATTGGTAGTGGAATCGAGTAGGTTATTGATACTAAACAAGCCACTAAGTCAGGACATCAGTTTAAACGGTTTAATCATAGTGATTTAAGGTTATATTAAAGCCGAACTACTTTTAATTTCATATTGACCAAGGCAACTGTTAAGTAGGCCTAAACGTATGTTGCATACAAACTATCGCTAATCAGCAAGACATATCTGCAAGCTTGAAATACCTGACATTTTAGATAAGATTCCAACCCATGTCATCTTTTGCCTATCACAACCTGTGATATTACTACTTATGCTGGAGAGTTGGGGTAATTCAGCAATATGTAGTTAATAAAATAGGTTTAGGATTAGTTGCCACTCAACAACAAAAGGCATAGGCAATCTTAATAAATGTTTAGGACTGCATTTTGATCAGTCCAGTAATTTGTTATAAATATACAGTAAGTTCAGAAAATAAAAACGTAGAATATATATATATATATATATATATATATATATATATATATATATATATATATATATATTTGAAAAGAAATTTACGTTTTGATTCACATATGTGTACTGAATGCATATTCTTATAAAATGTTAATGAGTTAAGGACATATGGTCACCTGTAAAATGACATCAGAATGACAAGTAATATTGTTCATTTATTAGAATGTAGAAGGTATATATGTAGTTAATTATTCGATAGTTCTGTCAATTATATATATATATATATATATATATATATATATATATATATATATATATATATATATAATATGAGAAAAATATCATTAGAAAGAGTAAAAATAATCTAAATTATTAATTCGAACAAGAATAAAACAACGATGCTAAAGTGAGATGAAATAGTAACAATAAAATCGATTAGATAATAAAAATGATAGAAAGAGAATAAATTTTATGATTCAAAAGTATCTCTGTTACAAAAAAGTACAAATCTTTGCTCCAGAAAAAGATATATTGGGCTAAATAGTCATGTAGGGTTAGAAATCCAATGAACAAAGTATTTAGATGATAAAGTATATGTGTATATTATTAAGTTTATACATGATGTACATAATTAAAATTTGGTATGGGAATTGTATATATATATATATATATATATATATATATATATATATATATATATATATATATATATATATATATATATATATATATATATATATATATGAAATTAATATGATTTAGTTCATATAATTTTGATGAAAATTCAACATTTTCATTGGTTAATGTGCGAAGTGGATTTCGTGCAGTAATAAGTAATTACTAAGTTCATCTAGCGTAATTACTCCGTCTCCTATAGGAAATGTAGGATAAAAATAAAATGTAAACTAGCTAACAAATAAATTTATTTTTACTAATGATAAAAATACAATATTTTTGACAGTAATATTTAATAAAAATATATGATCAACATATTGCATTATTTAATCCCCTAATATTCATAATAATAACCGAATTCACGAAAAACACATGGAAAGTTGCATAAAAAACTAGGTGGCCACTAAATGGTGACCAGTGACATGTTTGTCTAGTCATCTACTGATGATTGAATTTTATCCATTAAGTTACGATAATGACCGTTAATTTGAATAACTCGAAATTGCCCTTCGGATAGCTCAATAATAACGTCTCAAGCTACAAAGAAGTATGATACCCGTTCCAATCTCCAAGGGATCCAATAATTTTAAAAAAGATCAAAATAGAAAAACAATAACGATCGATAGGATTCCATTAGCACTAATAGATTAAACAAACATGATATTGGTCACTACTCAGTGGCCAACCAACTGTAAATATCTTCATTCTTAAGGAAGTCAGTGGTAGTAATATTTCAGACTATGGAATTTGATGACTCAGGTTTAAATCCCATAAGGAATAACAATTTGGAGGATTTGAATGTGACCAACTTGGCCTCCTGTGCTGTTACGACTATAAGGGCTGATAAGACTTCCCGGATGCCCACTCCAAGGAAGGGTATTTCTTGTGGAACCTGAAAAGGAAGTTGGATTATTATTGGTCTTAACGACCTGGGAGCGTGACCACAGGGCCCAAGGAACAACTGCGTCAGGCCGGTCGCTGACGGCCTTTTTGTGGGAGGATTTTAACGTGTTAGCTCTGTTCTTTAAAGAACCTTACCACCGGGGACGGAGATCCATGAGGTAAGGTGAGGCATGACACTTTGGGGGTCGACCTTTTCTAACTCTAACCTTCCTTGTGAGAAAGCAGCATCGCTTCAGATGCTGGTTGTCTGAAGGAAACACCTTACTGCTGTCACACCTCTGTACAGTTAGCAGTACGACTTCGCCTTCGGACCTTGGATTTGTTACTTTTAGTCTTACCGCTCTCCATTCGACCTACCTGGCATGGTAGAACCTACAGGAACTTATGTTCCAGCCAACATAGCTCGGTTGGGTCATCACGATAGGCAAGTCCGACCACAACCTCGTGTCCCTTTTTTTCTCTTTCCAAATTTATTTCACTGGATTACACCCCATGAATAACATCTTCAAACCCTAATCTTCCCGATTACTGCTTATAGTTTTACTACCTCTACCACTACGGGATTTGAATCGATAATTGTATCTGTGTGCTAATGTGGTATGGCAACTCGAACTGATGTATGTACGTACGAAGTTCTACGTTTTTACTGACTGAGTGAAGGAATATTAATATCCTCAAGATTGTTAGTACTGGTTGCTGACGTGTGCTAACTAGCATAGAACCCGTTTCCTGTTGGCTACTTCTAACCACTTAACGAAGTACACATCCAACACTCTACTTTACTCCATAACGCCATAATCGAAAAAAACCCTAGTGAATGAATTGTCTCTAACCAATCATTAAATTCAACTAGGAGGATTAGATTTAGGCAAAAAGATATGTTAATTGTTACTTTTGTTCTTCAACTAAGAATTTCTCACATTTCACTAAGCTTGATTAAAACGTCTTCATCATTTAAAACAGACTAGCTGAGCAACAAAATATGTAGTAACACATATTTATGTAAAATAAACTATTTACAAATGTATTTTGATTCGATGAACTGTGTCGAACTAAAGTGACTATCAGAAAATACATTAATCTACGATATAAGAACAGTTAATTTTTAATATTTAATGCAAACAAACAGGCTGAGTATTAATCAGAGCTGGATATTGGTTAGCAGTGGAATCTAGGAAACATGTTGCATCGGCTAGATGTACCTTTGTCGAAGTATTGATGTTTACATCAAGACTCGAGCTGAGTTCTTTCGACATCAAACAATAATATGTTGTCGAATAAGTTACTGGATAATAGTCATTAAGCTGTATAATTGATATGTTGCGTATTCATTAGGGTTTTCGTTTTGTGGATTAAAGTCTCTGTCAATACTACACCACTGGGATTCAAGAAAACCCAGCTAAAGAGTTATAAATAGGATTAAATGAGTATCATCTGTTCCACTGCTAGCTATAACTCAAATATTTTTAAAAAACCTCTGGAAAAATGTTGGTATCAATACAAACCATTCAGGGTTTGTATTTGCGGAAAGCAAGTAACCAATCTCAGTCTTCAGTATCGACGACGAGAAAACACATATGTTTATAAATAAAAATATCTGAAAAGATTTAGAAGCCTGCACATTGATATATAAGGAACTGAATTATCATATAAATCACTAGGAGACGATAATAATCAACAAATATTAGAAAAAGAATAAATTAACCTCAACAAATATAAGGTTGTAGAAATACTAAGTTTAAAAATCGACTTAAAGTTAGTACTAACATATACAGAAAGCATTTACTCACAAATTCTTAATTAATTATTTCTTGTCTTTTCTCAAGACTAAATATATTTTTTTGAGAATGATACTCAGCATTACATAGTGCAGAGGTCCCTCGTTTCGATTAAAAATGATAAACTTTTCCGACACAACAATTAGCGACGACCAGATATATCAGGTAGCATCCAAACCACAAGACATCACAGAACCACAAATCAATTCATATGTAACCATTTTCATTTCAAATAACTATGTTTTTAAGGATTCTCTTGGTATATTTCTAAATGCTAATTCGATTTCCGCATTAAACTTCTAACGCTTTTTACAAAACCTAAATTGACAGATAGGTGTGTGAATACAGGCAGATAGATGGATAAGCATACGTGTCGTTATTATTGTCATGTTAATTTTATGATAACCAAAATTTCCGACTAGTAACCAGATCACATTTTGCGTGTCAACTATTAATCAAGACAAAAGGAAACTATACATTTCCAAACGCCTCCGCATTATCGCATGATACTAAAGATATTCTAATGTCTTCACATAACCTGAGAAAAAAAAGAGAACGTATTATTTACACTGTTTGTAGGTGAATACAAAATATTTTAAAAATTTGATCCAGTATTTCGACTGTTTAGAGTATTTTGGTGAAAGACTTTTAAAACGTGTTCACAGCTTATCACGTGCTCCAATACTAAGCTGGTGGTAGTTTTCCAGTCTCTTTTTCAAAGCCACGCTGTGTAATCTTCTTAGATGCGTTTCGGAAAGTGACCCTTTATGTGGTCAATGTAATCTATCCCACAAGAGCAGGAAAAATCTATGAATGCACATCCATGTAGTCCAAAGCTGAAGTTTATCCTTAACACATCCGTGTATTTTAGGCCGGCTGGAGAAGACAACAGGAAGCCTAGCTGAATAGAAGGATTTATTCAGAGGTTTTGGAATTCGTTTATTCAAGATTTTAGCAGCCGTATCTACTTTAAATAAAATATCTACGAAAAATATTTCTGTCGGTGTCGAATGATAAAAAAACAATGATAAGCGAACTTTTCGTGCCAAAAATCAGTCTTGTTTGTTGAGAATTCTGATTAAGAAGTGCACACTGAGTAAGCGCAAGTTGTAATATATATATATATATATATATATATATATATATATATATATATATATATATATATATATATATATATATATATATATATAATACAATCTGTTCAGCCGTAAAACAACAAGAATAACCAAAAACGTCGTTCTCATTCAGCAAAAATCAATGAAAAGATCTCGAAAGGTGGTGATAGATTAAGAACGAGGTGTGATATTACATTTTTAAAAAGTACACAAGTATAAATGAAAATATAAGGCATCACGAAGAATGTATCTTGTTTGACAATGATGTTTACATTTTACACTCATCTTAATCCATTTGAACAACTGTATCCTCACATGCTGTTAACTGTCATTAATCTGATGAATGTCATATTTAATTTAATAAGTTTCTGACAGTGTGTATCAAAATGAAAAGTCAACGCTAGTATGTTTAATTTTAGTGTATTAGTTTGATTTATTTGTAAAAATATCTACATAACGCTATGAAATTTGATAATTTAGCTTACATACAGAAGCCAAAGTGTAGTGAACATATTTCAGTTACAGATGTATTTCAATCATTTATTGAAGTAGATAACTTTATTCAAATCACTGTGACACCATGACATTCAAGGAGGTTTGCTTGAATATCTGGGCTGCCTGCTTCTACCATCTAGATATTTCAACAAGTAACCATTTTTTGTTTATTTTAACACACCGACTACGTCCGTTGTTCGCGTAACCCATTCAGGCACGTGTATAAAAAGTTTACAACCTATCGCCTTACAAACTATGTAAAATTACAGTCAGAGACATCGCGGTGGCTGACAATGTGAATTGAAAAGAACGAACGTTAATCAGATGTCCATTCCTGAATTGACAAGGTGAACTATTTTCATTTCATTGATGATGTGGGAATATATCTGACTTGTAAACGTGCTGCACTGTTTAGTTCTGATTATTGTATTATTCGTGTGCCACCTAAAGTATATGATAAGCTTGGAATGAGTACACTCTTACATCGGACAATGAGAGTTAAATGCAGGAATTACTCAGACGAAAAAATCCAAAATCGGGAAAACAACTTTAGTACGATAAACTGGGATTTATTTACAAATCATTTATTGAAAAACACTATTGATGTTATCACTTGTTATTTTAAATTCTAAATTGGTGTTTTTTGTTACGCTGTAACTATTTTTGTAAGTTTTGATCAACTTACATGCTCACAACTAAAACGATTATGAAGGGTGACTAAAAGAAGTTACAAAGAGAACAACTTCATCAAAGTTCGAAATCTAAATGGTCTAATAAACCTGGAGATTAGACGTCTAAACTCAACGTTTATTCAGTAACTACTATCTTGTAAAAACACTTAAAGTATGAGGAAACTATTTAAAGAACTTACGGGTGAGAGACTCGTTAGAGACAATAATCAGCTGAATATTTTGGACTTAAATAAGCCTTTTGTATGTCGCTCATACTTCCCTTATCCACAGGTTTAAATAATGGTTGTGTCCCAACTTTCATTGGAACTAATGTCCGAAAATAAGCAAAGATGGATGGTGGCTAGCAGAGGATTTGAGGACGCGCGCTCCGTTCAATTCGGAGCCCGTCAGCTGGATATACCTGCATCCCACCATTCTTCTTTGCTTATAAAGCTTATGACTTAAGGCAATATCGAGGCATTCCTCACAGGATGCACATACGCCACCAAGAGACTGATCAATTGCATCCTAAACAACAATTGGAAGATACAAAAAAACAACACCAACTGAACTTAATGTCTGAAAATGTCCCCAGTTACTAAACACGTCCCACTTTTTGAGATTTAAAGAAATTTCAAACATCTCTTACAAGAATTGTGACTGTAGTGAACAAAACCTCAGGCACGGTAAATCAATTTACTATATTATGCAAAATCACACAATGCCTTTGTAAAATCATACATTAAATACATTATTTGCATATCTTCCTTGGGTTGTCCTGTACATCCTCCATCATTCTTCAAATTTTGTTGTCATTCTGACTGCTCTCCATTTTCCTTCCTCTGCTTTTCATTTAAGTCTTCCGCTAATAAGCATTCCACTTTCAATTCCTGATACATACTACGTACACCTATCCACATAAGAAGCGTACACCACTTGCTGATGTTTTGTGTCATCCATTCACGAGCAAATTTAACGAATCTTCCTCAAACAGTTTTATATCACAATTGTGGAGAAAGATAAAGATAATCCCAATACCAAAGGAAGTATCCAGTGGTAAGAATGAAAAATTTAGACCCATAGTAATAACTTCACCTGATCTCGAAACAACGGAAAAATTACTGCTACTCTCACTTCAACCTGCCTTAAAGAGCAGATTGATCCATATCACCTTGCTTAAAAATGTAAAAGAAGTATCTTAGATGCTGCTTTTGTTCTGCATCATAATATAGTGTACAGCTTAGAAATGAACAAGAAGTATGTTTTCGATGTTCATCTCTAGACTAAACCTATCACTTTGACTTTATCTCAAAACCACAACTACCAAACAAGTTTGTTAGCGCAAACAGCTTTTGTAGATTTACCCCTCTGGAAGAGAACAGTATACTGTGCTTGGAGGGCAGTGTTCAACGTCTCTACTAACTTATGGTATGCCTCAAGAAACTGTTCTTGCCTATTTCATTTTCTTATTTTTCCTCCATAATCTACCATCTTTTACAGAAAACACTTTTGTCAGGTATATGGAGGATCTCACTGTATTTTCATCGATTTCTACCTGCACATCCCCTTGAAATGAAGTGGTTCTTGTCGCATATTGTAGTTGATGGTTTCATACTTGATCTCTCTAAATGCTAAATTGTTAATTATAGCCTGAGATATGAGCAGCACTTAAACACCCTTTGGGAATACCACAAAGTCTGTATTATTAGAGATTCTTGGACAAAAACAGAGTCAAAGAAAATTTATGTTGATGTAAGTTCCCCGTATGATATCTCTTGGTCTCCCCATATTCTATTGATATTGAAGAGTTTTTCGTTTGACTTATTATACAGACAGGCTACATGCTTCTGGAACTGCTCAGTATTTGTTTTTACGACTTGTAAATTATTGTTTATTTACCAAACATGCCTTACCGTTCTTAATTATTCTTTCCCGGGATTTTGAGAAAAGATTTTGCTGTGTCGCGGAGATTGCTGAAGACGATTACTAAGGCGTGCGGTAAAAAATTTTTGATGTAACTTTGGATATGGTTATAGACAGACAATTAAAATCTTGAGAAATCCCGGCAAGTGTTATCATCTACTTCATTCACGTCGCTCTCCTTGTATATCTTTCGGTAGAACGAGAAGCCAATACGTTAGGATCCATGCACTCTATCAAAAGTATAGAGGCTCCACAATAACTTATCTAGCAAATATACTATGCGACGAACATGTTATTAGCGTTATTCAATAACTTATATCTTAGAAAATTTTGCTAAATGAAAAGTTGTACAGATTCTTATTATAAGACTTTCTATTTAGTTCTAGATAGTTTATTTGCTCATTAAATATATTTATTTATGCAGTTGTCAACTCTTTTTCTTGTTTTGTAAAAGAAGCCTGTTGAAATACTCTGTTCTGAGAATTCCATATTGTACTAAACATATTATATTTGAATGAAGCCATGATTAACAATAACTATTCTAATTATAATCATAACAATAATAGGAAATCAGTAATATACTATTTATATTAATAATCTTCAGTGTTATGCGAAGATAATAGATGGTAAATTATCATAAAATTTCGAAAAAAAAATACTACCAACCAGAGAATATAAAACCACAATAATCACAAATGTTACTCATTCTCAAAGTATAAAAATGTCAGTTGTTCAAAGTGTCTTACTTCATATAACAATAAATGCAAGTGACAAATATAGTCATGTTTTAAAACTATGGAGAATATTTATAGCAGGGTATGGGCGTGTTGTAGGTATTGTATGGTCTCTGGGATATATGGTTGAATCATGAAGCTTTCATTGTTTCACTGAACAACATCATCAACACATACTTCAAGCAGAAGTCAACTATTAAAATTTCTCCTTAATCCGCTTACGGCTTGCTCGGGAATTTGAATGGTTGTTATCCACACTACATGGTCATTGCTTTAATGTTTACTATGAATGTTCCCTCACCTGATCTAAACTCTGATCTTATCATGTAGTGTGGATAACAACCAATCAAATTCCCGTTAAAGCCGTTAGCTAATCGGGAAGAAATTTTAATAGTTGACTTCTCCTTGAAGTATGTGTTGATGTTGTTCAGTAAAACAATGAAAGCTTCATGATTCAACTATATGTCCCAGTGACCACACACCTCCAATGTAATCAGGTTTTACTCAGTTTTATTAAGTAATCTCAGTTATTTAATTGTTACAGTCTATCGTCACCGCTTTTGCTGAACCAAGCGAGAGCGAAACATAACGCACTTT